AGAGCGGACGCGAGACGACAGCTGAGGGAGAAGAGAGAAGAGAGAAGGAGAGAGAGGGAGAAGAGAGAGACGCAAGAGAGAAGACACCGAGAGATAATCATGAGAGAGAGAGAGAAAGAGAGATTCGAGAGAGAAGAGAAGACGAGATGTGGAATGTGATGTGAGTGATGAGTGTTGAGTGCGTGACATTTTTATCGTGCCTCTTATAAATAACGTGGGTGAATATCCATAAAACCGTATATAATGCGTACGCTGCGTCAATAGTGTAACTATTAGTATGTGTGTGCTCAATTAAAATCATATATAAATCTTCAGCTGGACCGTATCGTTAATACAAAAATGATAAAAACATAAGGCATTTCTCTCAGTTTTTTTAAACATGAAAGTGTCAGTAAAAAAATGAAAGCAACATTGTTTTTGCTTGATCTGGAAAAAAATAAAATATGAAAGGTATAAATATTTCTAATTTCTTTCTTCATGGTTCGTAATGCTTCCGTGTTTACACAAGGTTTAGCAAAAATTTAAGTGTTGGTCCCGTATGAGAGAGAGAGAGAGAGAGAGAGAGAGAGAGAGAGAGAGAGAGAGAGAGAGAGAGGAGAGAGAGACGAGGAGAGAGAGAGAGAGAGAGAGAGAGAGAAGAGAGAGCATGTGTGTGTGTGTTGTGTGTGTGTGTGTGTGTGTGTGTGTGTGTGTGTGTGTGTGTGTGTGTGTGTGGGTGTGTGTGTGGTCCAATAAAATTTATATTAAACATCTTCAGCTTTATTATTAATACAAAAATCATCATAACATGAGGCAATTCTCTCAGACTTTTTAATGAAAGTGTCAATAAAAAAACGGAAGCATCATTGTTTAGGCTTGATCTAAAAAAAATAATAATAAATTAAAGAAAAAACGTCCAAAAATGATTTTTTTCTTTTTTGGTTCGTAATTCTTCCGTGTTTCCACAAGGTTTATCAAAAGTTGGTCCCGGGTGCTGCAGAATATCATGGAAGTCAAATTCCTAGTTTACCAAACTCCTATTCCGAAATGGGGAGGGAAGGCAGAGAAATCCAATAAAACAAAAGTAATCTAACTCAAGATTACAGCTTGCCGCCTATAAAGACCGCCGAAAACACTAGAGCACAAATCAAATCAAATAATCCCACGGCCGACTGAAATGAGCCCCAATGCAAAGATACTCCGGGACAAATAATTTCCTCCTTGCACCTGGAACTCGTTTCTGCTTGAACAGGCCTAGAGTAATTAGACGGGCTTCATTGCACCGATAAATTTCCACTCGTGCAAAGAATACCATTTCCACCATGTGTCTGATGCAAACACACACTGCTTTTCTCTTTGGAATTTTCCATTATACTCTCGCTTTTCTTCTAACTTTAAAATTTTCCTACTTTTCCTTCGGGTCGGGGAGCTGCGCGGGAAGCAAGTTCTGGTTCTTGGGTCTGACACCATTATTACGGCCGTCGGGAAACCAGCGTGACGAAGCGCTCTGGTCCACTTTGGGATCGGGAGGGAACCTGTACTGCTGAAAGGTCACCAACACAGACAAAGGGAGAAAGGGAGGAAGAGAAGTTGAGAGAAATAGCGAAAGATAAAGGTGGTCTGCAGGTATGTAGATACTCAGTACATGTGCAAAGGGGAAATTTTATCATTTCATATTTTACTCATATACATGTGTAAAATCATTATACATTTACATATCTATAAATGTGAATATGTCTGTAAATCATACGTACATGTAAGTGCGCGTTAAACAGCCGAATGCAGAACGGAAGAGAGAGGTCGTATCTGGCATGACTATCTCTACCTATACACGAGCAAGAACTTTATCGTCGAGTAATGGTTTTGCTTTCGACTTTCCCAGTGGGTTTCACCACCTGAGGTTCCTCACTGGTGTTATCCAAATAAGAAAACAAAAATACGGCAGGGTTGATGAAGGAATTCGACCTCATCATTCGTAGACAACGCAAAAAATATATTTTCCCAGCACAACATAATCCGAAAGAACTCGGGCAACTGAATGGAAAGTGTGCTGCGTGTCAGTCAGATCAAGATGTCGAACGTTATCCTATTTTTCATGATTAGCGTTAGTTTCCGCTTGGCAAAAAAAAAAAAAAAAAAAAAAAAAAAAAAAAAAAAAAAAAAATCGTGATTAACAACATACAGCTCCGTGTGCAGTTTAGATTGTATTTGTTGTTTTATCTATAAACAAATTAACTATATTTTCTCTGTAAAACATCAATCTACATTTCATATATCCACTTCCATTATACGTGACATGGATATTTTTTTTTACATCCTGTTGCTCGATATACTATCTCGACTTCGTCTACATCAGTATTCTCGAGCATACGCTGGAGCCTTTCCAAGAGAATTCATTAACTCCCGGATGGAAATCAACGCAGTAAACCTCAGACGGAAAGACTCCATCAGGACAC